GAGTCCTTAATCACCTCGAGTCATGCAACTGGGTCTGTTGCCCTAGTAGCTCGAGTGATGTATTGTGATGTGCTCGAGCTCGACCATGGTATGTTGGCATCATGGATAATTTTTGAATTTTAGGAGTCAAGGTCGGGGTCCTATGCTATGAGTCTTCGGTGATCTTGGGACAACTTGTTGCCATAATACACTTCGGTGTATTTAATTAAAGAACATTATACGGCATGTATGCCATAATTCAAAGGAGTAAACTATTTAAGGGGACGTAAGCCCAACATAAATGTAAAGATAGAAGGAAAAACTAAGCACGAACTGAAAACATCTCAGACCCTATGTACTTGGTTGCATAGCCAACTACTAAAAATAAATTTTCCTGTGGTTAGCGGCCCACGGTGGAAACTAAGCTCTTATCTGAGTAAAACCTCATATCGTAGGATTCCGGTTGCCCAATCAGTTACTTGTAATAAATTTTCAAATTTTCAGCATTCCACGGCCTCGAAAGTGGTCTTCTCGATGTGTCCTTCAAGCTGTATGCACCTCCTTTCAACTTTCGAATAACCTCAAAAGGCCCTTCCCATACTGGTCCTAGCTTCCCTGGAGGATGTCCAGCAGCCGCTTCCCTCCTCAGGACTAGATCACCAACTCTGAACCTTCTAGTCCTGACCTTGGTGTTGAAGTACCTTACTTTTTTGCTTTGATAGCTTGCGGTCCTCAACGAGGCTTATTCTCGCACTTCTTCCAGCATATCAAGGTGCTCAATAGTTTGTCCCTCGGCATCGAGCTCGATGATCCTGTGTGTTAGGAGACCAACCTCTACCGGTATCATGGCTTCCGTACCAAAAGCTAGCATGAAAGGAGTCTCGCCAGTTGCTATCTTGTGAGTGGTCCTGTATGTCCAAAGAATGGCGGGCTGCTCTTCAGGCCAATTTCCTTTAGCGTCACCTATTCTTGTCAGAAGGTCTTGCAGTGTAATCCAGTTAGTAACTTCTGCAAAACCATTACTCTGAGGGTGTGCAACCGATGTCAATGGATGATTAATCCCAAAATTCGAACAAAAGTTTCTGAATTGCGAATTATCAAATTGCCTCCCGTTGTCCATTATCAGCACCCTCGATATCACGAACATGCATACAATAGACTTCCATACGAATGATCTGAGCTTTAGTTCTGAAATTGTTGCCAATGGCTCAACTTCTACCCACTTGGTGAAGTATTCTACTGCCACTGCAACAAATTTCACTTGACCCTTTGCCAAAGGAAAGGGCCCAAGGATGTTAACTCTCCATTGCTCAAAATGGGCAACATAAGGGATGGAAGTTAGCTCTTCAGGGGAAGTGTGTATGGTATTGTCGAACCTCTGGTACTTGTCACACTTCTTTAAGTAGTCCGATGCATCCTTCTGCATGCTTGGCCAATAATATCCATACCTGATGAGTTTACAAGCAAGCACACGAACTCCCTGATGATTTCCACAAATACCTTTGTGAACTTCTGCTAAGGCTTGGAGGGACTCGGAGGGCTTGAGACATCTGAGGTAGGGTAGAGTGAAACTCCTGTGACAGAAGATACCTCCAATAACGAAATATCTTGAAGCCCTGGTTTTGATGTTTCTTGCTTCCCGAGGGTCAGATGGTAGGCTCCCGATTGTCAAGGATTCCAAAATCGGATCCATCTAAAACGGCTCATAATCTATGTCCATGATACCTAGCTTCGGCTTTATGCTAGGCTCTGTCACCAGCTTGATGTGTATTGTTCGATCTAGTCCATCTATCCCCATGAACATTAGTCTAGATAGTTCATCGACTTTCGCATTATCAGTCCTAGTGATCTTGAGGATCTTACAACTCTTGAAACTTCTCTAAATGTCATGCACCTTTAGGCAATACAGGCTTATCTTTTCTTTTGAAAATACCCTCAATTTGGCCAACCACAAGCTGTGAGTCGCTGAGGACTTTGATGTGCTCGAGTTCAAGCTCTTACACCGATTCTAAAGCTAGGATGACAACCTCATATTCTGCTTCGTTGTTGGTGGCTTCAAATACGAACCTGAACGCGCATGGGATCTCTATAGCCTTGCGGGGTTAGTGACGATGACCCCGACGCCCGATCCCGAACTGTTCGATGCCCCATCTACGAAGATTTTTCAAGTTTCCAAGGTCTTGGTCGGGTCATTACTCAGTAGCCCCCGAGACCTAAGGGTAAGTTCTGCAATGAAGTCTGCTAAGGCCTACGCCTTGATGGCGGGACGTGGCTTAAACTCTATATGAAACTCGTCCAACTCAACTACCCACTTCAGTAGCCTTCCCGAGATATCCAGCTTCTGAAGTATGTGCCTTAGTGGTTGATTGGTGAGCACAACAATTGGATGAGACTGGCAGTATTGACGCAGTTTCCTAGTTGTTATAACCAACATGAGTGCAAGTTGTTCAGCCAATGTGTGCTGGGTCTTTACGTCGATAAGTACTTTACTAACGTAGTAAATAGGTCGCTGAACCTTTCCAACATCCTTCACCAACACTCTACTTATTGCCTTCTCCGAAACGGCTAAGTACAACAGCAACGTATCACCCGATTCTGGCTTGGTGTGGACCGGAGGTGTCGATAATGTTTGCTTCAACTCTTGAAAGGAAACATTGCATTCTTCATTCCGCTCAAAGTACTGGTTCAGATTTTTAAAGAAGGGAAGGCATCGTCACTGCTCGAGAAACGAACCTATTCAATGCCGCTACTCGACCGCCAACTTTTGAATATCTTTTTTGCATGCCGGTGCTTCCATAGATTTCAAGGCTTGGATTTTGTCTGGGTTGGCCTCTATTCCTCTGTGCGTGATCATGAAACCCAAAAAATTACCGGATGCCACTTCAAACGTACATTTCGCGGGGTTCAGCTTCATCATGTACTTCCGCAGTATGGCAAAGACCTCTTCAAGGTCCGAAATATGGCCGTCTTCTAGTTTGCTCTTGACTACCATGTCATCTACGTATGCCTCGACTTTCTTCCCTATTAAGTGAGCAAAGACCTTGTTGACAAGCCTTTGATACGTAGCTCTCGCATTCTTCAATCAGATGGGCATGACCCTGTAGTAGTAAATAGCTGAATCTGCCATAAAGGAGGTCTTCTCCTGATCCTCCGCTGACATAAGAATTTGGTGGTACCCAAAGAATGCATCAAGAAAACTGTATAATTTATGGCCTGAGTTGCTATCCACGAGACTATCAATTCGGGGAAGGGGATAGCTATCCTTAGGGCATGCTTTGTTCAGATCTGTGAAGTTAATGTACATTCTCTACTTTCCATTGGCTTTCTTAACGAGAACGACATTGGCAAGCCAGTTGGGATATTGGACTTCCTGAATGAATTTCGCATTGATGAGCTTGGAAACTTCTTCTCGTATGAGTTCCCACCGTTCGGGCACAAACTGCCTCCTTCTCTGCTTTACTGGTCTCGCACCCAGGGTTAGGTTAAGCCTGTGTTCAGCCACCTCGGGGTCTATTCCCGACATATCTTCAATGTTCCAAGAAAATACATCAATGTTGCAGGCTATGGAGCTAACAAGTCGGGCCTTGGTTGCAGCATCAAGGTCTCGGCCAATGGTGATTTTTCTTCCAAGCTCGAGCTCGACCTCGTCCATCTCTTCTACCGGAGCAAGTCTCCTATGATGCTCGATGTCAGGCTCGACCTCATAGAGTTGCATAACGTCAACCTTGATCTCACAAATGCTGGTAACATAGTAATGTTTGGCTGCTATTTGACTTCCCCGGACTAATCCGACCCCATTACTAGTAGGAAACTTCACAGCCAGATGAAAATTTGAGATAATCGCCCTGATTTTATTTAGCAACAGCCTTCCAAGTATGGCGTTGTACGCCATAGGAGCGCGAACTACTTGGAATGTTGTGATATGCGTGACCTGACCTCCTTCTGACCCCAATGTGAGAGGTAACCCAACAATGCCATCCGGAATGACGACACCACCTCCGAACCCCTAAAGGGGGGTTTTTACAGGCTTGAGCTGCTCACCTGATATATCTATCTGAATGAAAGCCTCATGTGATAGTACGTTAGTATCGCTCCTATTGTCCACCAGAATCCTTTTTACTTCAAAATTGGTAATGATCGCCGATATGACCAAGGCATCATCATGAGGAAAAGACACGCCCTTCAGGCCTTTTGACCCCAAGGTAATGTCTCCCACATCACTGAGATCCAGGCTTGAGATCGAGTGGTATTGCCTGGAGTACTGCTTACGCCCACTGTTGGAGTCTCCTCCCGAGGCCGTTCCTCCGACAATGACATTAATAGTCCCTCCGGTTGGTTATTTATCGCCCCCATCTTCAGTGACCTTACCCCTATTTTGGTTGTTCCGCTGGCCCTTGTCTTGGTTGACGTATGTGCCCAGGAATCACCTTCAGATGAGAGCCTTAATCTCCCATGTGTCCATGATCTCTATGAAAGTCGCAGTACTTGCTTTTGTCAAGGGTCTCTGGTAGAGCCCGTAGTCTCGGAGGCCATTTCAACTTCTTCAGGTCTTTGATATCCATCAAAATATTAGACCTCGTAGTGTTCAAACGAGTGAATGGTTTCGGTGGTTGGTCTTACCTTGGCTTGTTTCGGAAGAGTTTCGGGTATGGGTTGGACTCATGTGGCCTCTTAAGATCAGGCTTTTTCGATGGTAGGGCATCCCTTTTTGGAAACATAGTCTCATCCATATTAATGTATTTCTCTGCTCGGGTAAGTAAGTTGGTTATCGACTTTGGAGGGGCCTTCAACAGCGACATCTTGAACGCTTCACATCTTACGGCGTACGTTAGGGCAGAGACCGCAACTGTGATGTGTAGGTCGGGGATCATAAGTCTCTCCTTATTAAATTTTGCAATGAAATTTCGAAGTGTCTCGTCGGGTCCTGACGCATTTGCATGAGCGACACGGTCGTTTTCCTGATGCGCTTACTACTTGCAAAGAACGTAGAAAATTTGTCTGCTATGTCCGAAAAGGAAGATATGGAGTTGGGTTCCAATGTGGAGAACCAATCTCTGGCTGTATTGGTAAGTGTCTAAGGAAAAACCTTGCATATTACAACATCGAGTGCAACTTGCAAGTTCATGATATCCGTGTATATGTTGAGATGGTTGATAGGGTTAGTCGTCCTGTCATACTCCTTCACCCGAGGATACTTAAACCGATCCGGTAGGAGGTATGATAACACTTCAGGGGTAAAAGGTGTGTTTCGGGCGAATCCTGTTGTGGCCTGGGACTTCTGGAGCATTCCGACCGTGATTCCATGTTGGATGATCCTACAAGATCAGCCTAGTCTATAGTAACCGGTCTTGAACCAGCGGGGATATGTTGCGATGAGGGGTATTGGGGGTGTGTTTCTCTGATGTAGCGGCTGAGTAAGCGCGACTATCTGCTGGCGGAATACCTCCAATGCACCGGGAGCCACTGTTGCAGATGGGTGAGGTTGTTCTCTCGATG